TGGTGGTATGCATGTGGGCGTGTGGGGGGGAGGGTAGTGTGGGGCTGTTCCGCAGTTCTACATTTCCCCAGTTCCACAGTTCCATAGTGCTAATACTTCTATTTCTTGGCAGGTCTTTTGATGGCTTACGCAGCCCAGCAATGGTCCTTCCTGGATCGAGTAGGAAAAGTTACTCTCCATTGCAAAAAATGCGACACAGTACTGGCCACAAGGGAAACTGTGATGTTGGCCAAAGTACCCCCCTCTGGTACACACTTGGCCGTCAGGGAGGGGAAGGAGGAACATGTAGAAGGGAAACTTCATAAGGTTAAAAATGAAAAGGGCGGGAACAGTGCACTTTATTGCCCTTTCAATTTTCTTTGCCGAGGGTGTGGCGAACGTGTTGCAAACGTAACAAAGTTAGCAGGGAAACAGCTTATTTGTTTTAGAATAGAGAGAGTCAATATTTCTCACAATGGAAAGAGGATTATGGCGAACAAACTGTCAAAAGTGAGCAAGGAGTTGGAAGAAGAGTGTGGCATTGAAGTTGTCAACGTTACGACGCATGCGCCAGAAACAGGAAGAGCAGACCAATCTCGTGGAGATAGTGAAGCCATGGTTTATTGTGATACGAGTGGGTGGACTCACACATCGCACGAAATCGACTCTTTAACGCGACAAGAGCCGCGAGACTATCAGCGGGAGTTGTTCCTTTCTGCCATGCGCGGTAATACGCTAGTATATCTGCCCACTGGCTCTGGAAAAACCTTGATTGCAGCCATGGTGATGAGTTGTATGAAGAAGTTGAACCCAAGCAAAGTTATGGTATTCCTCGTCGACCGAGTACCATTAGCGCACCAACAACGTGATTACACTAAGTCACAATTGATAGATTTAAAGGTGGAAATGCTGGTCGGTGAAATGGAGTCGCCTCAAAATAGGCGTATTTATCACAAATTAGCTAATAACAAAGTTGATGTGTTGGTCTTAACACACCAGATTTTCCTTAATTTTTTAGCCGCGGAGGACAACCCACCCATTCGTCTGTCTGATGTCTCAGTCCTGGTGTTCGATGAGGCTCACCACTGCAGCAGAAACCACCCGTACAACAAGATAATGGAGTACTACAAAAAGACGCCAAACCGGTTTAAACCTGTTGTGCTCGGTCTGACAGCCTCACCAGCTGGAGAGCTTACATTCAAGAAAACCAGTAAGAAACTTGAAAAGCTCCTTGAGAACTTGGAAAGTGCAGTAGCGATGCCCATTGAGTCGGATTTGTTGATTCATGTTAATATCCCAGACGTAATTTATGAAAGATCTGACCACATGAACACTGATCAAGTTCTTCTCCAGCGACATATTGAAGAACACATCAAATATCTGATAGACATCCTCTTCGAAGATGTACCAGATCGTCAAGATTTTCCGTTTCCTGTATTCTCGTCGAATTTTAGAGGTGCGCTGAGAAAGCTGATCGAAAGTTACCATGGTAACACGAAGTCGTTTGAAGCGCTGATCGTTGTTGAGCATGCAATGCACTTGCTTAGCGTTGTTGAGTTTTGTGATGTTCTTGGTTACCAGTATGCTGTTGAAAGTCTCAAAGAATGCGTATACCGCATTGTTTCCGCTAAGTCTCGGAAACATCGTGCCCTGAACAGGTTAATTGGAAGTCAACGTTCTTTTCAAGCCCTCAAAAATTTGGTAGATCAAGCATGCAGGGCTGACTACCCTCGTGCAGTTGTCATGTCGGACAGGTACAAGATTCTTGTGAAGCACTTAGAGCAGTTTCTTCACCAAGTTCGGGAAGACCCAACTTCTAGAGGTATCATATTCGTAAACTTGCGCAAAACGACCTTCAAAATGTGCGAGCAGATTAGAAGGGATATCCCGATTGTGACCAAAATGTTAAATCCCTACCCTTTTGTCGGCCATGGTCAAGGAAGCTATGACGGAATGACGTGGAAAGATGAACAGGAAAAGCTGTTAAGAAAGTTCAGAGAAGGAGAATCCAAGCTGCTGATTTGCACGAGTGTTTTGGAGGAAGGACTGGACATCCCCGAATGCAACCTAGTCGTTCGCTTCGAGGGTGCGGCAACACTGCGGGCGTTAGTTCAGACTCGCGGGCGCGCGTCCCGTAGATCCAACAGTAAGTTTGTCGTTATCTGCAATGAAAAACAAGAAAAAGATGCCAAAGATTTGTGTCTCAAGGAACAGAACATGGAAGAAGCCATCAACTGTTTAATGAAGAACCCGAGGCGTCAATCACAAGCAGAGGAGTTCGAATGCGAAGCGAAAAAACCTAAGCTTTTTCTCCCCAGCGCAGAGGAAAGTGGTGCAGATACTTCTCCAGTCATGCGCTACAGCCCTCGCATATCTGTCACGGTGCGCAATATGGTATATCAAACATCCCGTGTGATAGAATTTCTGAACGACAACTTCGACGTGATATCTTCAAAGCCAATTCAGTCCACTTCATCGGCCGGTGAAGCACTTACAAAGAAACCCACATCAGAGGATATGGCGTTTGAACTCGAACCAAGCCATAATGAAGAAGCCAAGGAGTTTCGCTCAAAGGAAGAGTTTGCATGTCACGCGACAGAAGTGTGGTGCATGCGCCTCACCGACCGTCACGAGGAACCACTTCCGACTTGGCTCCAGGCCCCACCATTAGAGACACGCCGCAAATCTATTGAATCATTTCATTGGTTAAAAGCAAGTTCCTTATGCCTCGGTACTTTTATGAGTCGATGCCATTTCCAGTGTGAGTGGCCTCTAGAGCCTACCTTAAAGGACATTAAGATTAATTTTGATCACAGCTTCAAGATGCTGACCTTGCATTCCTCCAGGCAATCTTCTGTCGTTCTTGATCAAGGTGCTGTTGCTAGAGTTTCTTACAAGATAGAACTTCGCTACGAGGAGATTGAAGATTTCATAATCGTGGACACTGATAGTAGTGCAGAAGCCATTAACGTTTTTCTAACGGCGCGACACCCTCCACGGCTGTATAAGCATGAAGTAATGGAAGATTTGTTCGATCTTTTTCAAGTAGATGAACAAGACGATGAAGATGACTCAGTCGTCTCGACAAGTGACGATGAATCAGAAACCGAAGGCTTCTTGACCGACGATGAATACGCGGATGTAATAACCGCCGATTTCAATAACGTTTCCTCAGATCTCTCTCGTAATCTCACAGACTATATAAGCTGGGAAAGGGCGTCAGATTTCCACAATGGTGAGAATACCGTAAGTCAGTGCTTTACCTACTGTGTTACAATACCATTCAATGAGGTTGTCCAGTTGAGACGCTTGTTGACCACAGTCGAGAAAAGATTCCACAAAAGTGTATTTTACTGCCGAGTGAAGGAGAGCTATGGAAAATTACGAGATGTTGAGATCCCCGATAGTTTGCCATATGATGTCAAGTATGCCGCTGGAAGTGTCCTCAGTTTTCATCCTTTGATTCGCGGGAGAGTGCTACCAGGAAAATTTGGTGGACTCTTGCTGAGCAAATCTTCTAATATAGCTATTGCCGCTTTGGAAAAATTGAGTAAAGTGTTGGAAAAAGACAAGTTCTGTGATCCGGGCACCACTCTGGAGTCGCTACTGAAACAAGAAAACCCTTCAACTTCCGGAATGTATAACAGGCTGGTCCCAGGCCATTGTGCTTTGATAAAGCGTGCGGTCATCACCCCAACGAGGCTTTTGTTCTACCCACCGGAAGTCATGGTCAAGAATCGCGTTCTCAGGAATTATGATACAGACGACTTCCTTTGTGTTAGTATTCGAGACGAAGACCTGTCAAAGTTGTCTGCAGCGAGAGGAAATATCCACGATATATTAGACGGAGTAAATCGTAAATTGAATGAAGGACTAGTGGTAGGTGGTCAGCGGTTTCAATTTTTGGGTTCCTCCAACAGTCAGCTTCGCAACCATAGCTGTTGGTTTGTAGGGCCCAGTTCTCTACCGGATGACATACGTCGCTGGATGGGAGACTTCACCAATATCAAGTGAGTAAGCACTATTCCGTTTTTCAATTTGAAAAAAGTTAAAGTTTTGAGTCAAAACTGAAAAAAAGGAGAAATGAATATTTCTCCACTAAAGCGATATCGCTCTTTCAACCAGCCTAGCTATTGATCAGAGGTGAATAGGAACACAAAGGAAATGAAAAGAGTAGGAGATTAACAAATGTCGGCCACTTTGTTTACGGCTACTTGATCAGAGGGAATGAGGGCTCTCACAAGAAGTCTAGAATTGTTGTTGTCACACATGCACCGAACTCTTTGGGTTTTGTATATCTTACCTTGTTGTATTTTGCAACTAAAAACAGCTTTAAAGTAGATGAATCGGCGCGAACGATGAGGTTTGTTAAGCAAAAACGTCACGAATGCTACGAACCGAACACGTCAACATCCGCCATCTTGGATTTTCTAAATGTTGCATTTTATATTGTGAACTGAAATGTCCCTTTTGCTAACAACGCATATTGCGGGCTCACAACAATGGCTCCTGTCTTTTTGGCCTTGGCGACCACTTTGGAAGATTTAGGAGCCAGATGGCTCCTTGCCAAAAAAGTTAATTATTTTGCCCTGTTTACTCGATGATTGGTCAAGTAAGCCTGTTCAGCCCTTTCATCCAATGAGGTGAACAACTCAATTCGGTTGTGGCTCTGTTATTCGTATATATCAAGGCTGATAGTTTCGAAAGAAACTGTTTGGGGCTGCGTCGGTGGGAGTAACGAAATAATTTGGATATATCAACAAAGTTGAAATGGTAAATTGGCCACCGTAACGATTACAAAAGCTGACGTTTCGAGCGTTAGCCCTTCGTCGGAGCCCTTCGCCTTTCGTCGTATATATCCCCGTTCAACGCAGTTTACTTGATCAATTTTTTTCTATTTTCTTTTGGATTCATGTGATATTTTCTTCCATTCTAATTGGTCTCCTTTACGTTAAAATTTATGTTATTTGCTTTCCAATAGGTGTGTTGCCTCATACATGGCTCGTATGGGTCAGTGTTTTTCCACCTCCTTAGACGCTGTGGGGTTTGCGACCAGTGAGGATACCTATCATGAGGAAGAAGATGATGTTAAGACAGCTGACGGAGAATACTGCTTCTCCGACGGAGTCGGAAAGATATCCGAAGAGTTGGCCGCAGAGGTATAATGAATGTTCGTTTTACTTCGGAAAAAAGGGAGACATTCTCCTCTGACTTCGAGCCCACTGAAACACGAGGTAGTGCAGCGGTGCAAGCCACTTCACGTGAGACACGATAGAACTGAATAACGTATGCGCACGCGCTAGGTTTTGGTGCGGAAAAACGAATTTTGAGTCGTTCGCACGGTTGATTTTCTCTTCTGTTCCTTCGAGGCGTTGTTTTCCTTGACGCTTCATTCTTTTGCAGAACAACTTACAACAACTTTGTACAGCCCCTAAATACTTTTGATAATTACTTTTCTCCTTAAACACTTTGGGAATAGGAAAATGCATTTAACGACGACAAAATGCCCTGGTTTAAATGCCAGCTCGTTATTTTCGCAAGTTTTCTAAATTTTAAACCTCGCACGCTTGAGCCCGTGTTGTTGACCGCATATCTTTGACGTAACACTTGGTTATTCAGCTCTGTCGTGCAGCGCACGATAATCGTTATTGGCTCCCTCCCCCTTTGAATACAATTTTTCGTTGCCATTTTTGGACATCTGGCTGTACTTAATTCGAACTCTTACTTGCACCTTGTGCCGATTTTTTTTAGTTTTATGACACTCAGTCCTTCACAAAGCGCTGTATTAAACTGTACTTTATTTTACAAATTCCAAGAGTTTCCCTTGTTGCATTAGACTGAAACCCACACCCTATTTTTAAGGTTGTCCGACAAATTGGTAAACCTTTCAAACCATCTGCATTTCAAGTCCGTTTCGCCGGCTACAAAGGAGTTCTTGCACTAGATCCCAGACTTCCAGGGAAACAGGCCATATTTCGTGAGAGCATGTCCAAGTTTGATAGCTTTCACCGCAGACTGGAAGTATTGCAGACTTCTCGTCCTCAGGTCGTTTTCCTCAATCATCAGGTGATCATGCTTCTGTCTAACCTTGGAGTCCCGGATGAAGTCTTCATCAAATTGCAAAACGACATGTTAGACAAGTTGGCAGGTAAGAAGATGAGGTCAATATATTCGTGTCAGAAAATGTTCGCCCACGAGAGGATGATCACTATTGTGACTGCCACGGGCGACTGATTATCTTTATTGGTAAGGAGAAACTCTAACCGCGCAATTTTCAACACGAAACGAAACGACACGACACGGTTAAAACTGCAAATAAAGCGGCGAACGAAAACCTTTTAGAATAGAAACTAAACTTAATACACAAGGAAAGCTACAACGAATACAACGATGAAAACTACATAATGCAATACTTACATTTGTTGCGATGTTGTAGATTTCCTGCCTAGTGGCGAAATAGCTACACGAAGCGAGTGACCAAAAAAACTCGAACACTGAACAAAATACTGGACAAAACTAAACAAACTACGATGAACAATAAGATTTAAATACATGCTATGCTACGTAATGTTAAGCTATGACACAAAGAAAGCGCACACAAAATTTTACTACAATTAACACTATTTGCACAAGAATAATAAACAAAAAAATAATTCGTTAGGGATCTACAACTATATCGCCTCTTTTTTCGACTTATTACATGGAATATGATGAAAATTTGCCTTTTGAGTCTAAGGTTCTTGACCCGTGCTTTTTTACACAGCATTTTTATTCCTTGTCAATTGTCTATATTATCACGAAACCGTTTCAATCAACAACTGTTGCTGACTAAGTTAGAATTGGAAACAAATAGAGCGAGTCTCCAGCCCTTCCCGTCCTTAAATTTAGTCTGGTTACGTAATATCTCACACTACACCTTTGCTTGTTCAAAGGGATGCTTGTGAATGAACGTGATGCTATTCAGCTACTGGGGAGTGGAGCCAAAGTGGGCGTGTCCTATCACAATGTTTCTAATGCAGGGATACCGCTGACAACAGAGCCATTCTTTAAATCGCTTTTGGTGGCCATGTACCGAAATCACATGCACGAACTGCTTTCCCGAGCCCGCATTCTTTTGCCACCAGCGGAAGCACGATTGATGATGGGTGTGATGGACGAGTTGGGTGTACTGAAACCTGGCCAAGTGAGTTGTTTTTTATTAGTTCTTTGAAGTTCTACTACTAACCGTGAACGTAAACCTGGTACAGCGGAGTCTGCCTAAATACAATCCAACAATACCGGCTATTTTCAACAAAGGGCTCTTGAAAACTGATCTTTGAAATTAGTGCAAATTTAACCCTTTCGCAGCAGAATCCCGTACAGGCCAAAAATTGTTTTCAAGCCTTTTTTCTGCTACTGCTTAAGGTAGTGTTCATTACAGCGAAGATCGCTCTCATAGTCATTTTTTTAACCGCAGTTCACATATGTGACTTACCCAGTTAAAAAAAGTCACTTTTTGCGATCTCCGCGCGAATTTTTCGACCAACTTGTGAACAGCTGAAACACTTCAGGGCTACACTGTCTGGAAGGTCTATACTATGCTGATGGTCCATGTCCATATCTAAGAGCTGTGTAACAACCCCCCTCCCCACCATCCAACACCAATTACCGTGCTTACACTTAACTATTGTTGGACTCCCATAAAATTTCAGCGTTACAGAATTACCATATGTCCTGCAGAAAAGCATCACATAGGCTGGGTAAACTTTAAATTCCGCTCTTCCCACGCCTCTTGGGACGCTATACGCGCAGATTACAATGAGTCTCATATCCTACTCGCAACCACACATTTGACCACTTTTGGAAAGATAATAATGATAACAGGATGTGTGCCTTTGCTGAGTCGTCTTGATAACATGTTCATTCTATTTTATCGCGTCAGGTTTTCGTACAGTATTCCGCGGTTGAAACACGTGAGGATCGGGATGACGAGTTTGACAAGAACAAAAAAATTGTGCTGAGCGGACCGGTGGTGGTTACTCGTAATCCATGCTTACATCCGGGAGATGTACGTCAGCTCGAGGCTGTTGACGTACCAGGCCTCTTTCATCTTGTGGACTGCATCGTTTTCCCAAGCCGAGGCTCGCGGACACATCCTAACGAGATGGCAGGTAATATGCCTATTGTGACAGTTTGAATGACTTTCTCTTCCGATCTTAAACACTTACACGGCACTTAAGTTTAATTAGAATGACTCCTTTAAGAACCTCATGAAAGGACCTAGTAGGGTAATATAACTGAATTATATTTATTTATTTGCGGTATTTAGACAGGCTGGCCCAGTTCAGCTCCAGAGCCACTAACCGTAAATATCAAGAATCTGGCGACAGTTACAAAATTTCGTAATTAACTTTAATTTTTCTAAAGGACCCTTTTAATGAACCTTTTCCGAAAATTATATCGAGAAGTTCTATCGCACTTTTTTTTTCTCCGTAAAATCAAAAAATTTATTTTTAAAACCCTAAGTGCTGATCCGATCTGGAGCTTTAACCCTCGACCTCCCGCACGGCAGTCCAGCGCTCTACAGTCTCTACAACATCAGCTAACCAAGCGCGGTTTTTTTCATTAGGATRCCTGCGAAAGGTATGAATGTAGTCATAAACAGATCCGATTGTGAAAATTTGAACAAAATTCTAAATGATTATTCTGATTTCAGGCGGTGATTTGGACGGTGACCTATACTTCGTCTGTTGGAATAAAGACTTGTTACCAAGGAAACCCAATTACCCGCCAATGGACTATCCTTCACTTCCTAAACTGGAACAGACTGAGCCAATCGCTACTCGCGATATGACCAAGTTTGTGGTGGATTACATCCGGTCTGACCAGTTAGGCGTGATTGACAACGCGCACAAGGCTTTGGCGGATATCGAGAAAGACGGCGTGCGATCCAAGAAGTGTCTTTTTCTTGCAAAACTGCACTCTTTAGCAGTTGACGCACCCAAAACGGGAAAATGGCCTGATACTACAGGTATTGGGATTATAGAAAAGCTTCCTGATTTCATGATGAAGAGCCATAAACCAAGTTATCCCTCTGAAAAGGTTCTAGGAAAGCTCTATCGACGCTGTCGGAAGTTTAAAGATACTACATCTGAAAAATACGATCAAAAAGTCCGTTTGGACGAGTCCTTCCTGTTGCCAGGTAACGATAGATTCGTTGAAAACGC